GAACAGAACAAGGAGGTTTTCTTTAGAGAACAGAAGAGGTGTACTTCCTGAAGGGAGTCTAGAACAACAGAGATATTCTTAGCATAGGCTTCAAGATTAGCAGACCAGATAATAATGTCATCCAGATAGACATAGCAGATCTTACTAATGAGACAATGTAAGGCTTCTGTCACACAATACTGGTAGGTGGCAGGAGCATTTCTACAGCCTATAAGTATGACAGTCTATTCATAGAGTCTAAGCAGTGTATTGATTGTAGTCAAGTAGATGTTATTAGGATGAACATGAGTCTGAAAGAAGGCATTCATTATGTCAATTTTTCCCCAAATAAGACCTTTTGTACAGTCAGCCAGGATATTGTCTATCTGAGGTAGTAGATAGTTATCAGGTATTGTATTACTGTTAAGCTCCTGATAATCACAAACCATATGTGGAAGAGCTGAAGGGTCTGATTTAGTAATGAGGAAAGTAGGAGAGGAGATAGGACTAGAAGAGGGTCTTAATCTGTCAGTCAGAAGATGGCTCTGTAGAAGGACTTCCTATGTGTTGTAATATTTTCTAGGGTAGGAATACTAGTAAGGCTTTATCTGAAGGTTTGGATCTTTCAATTTGAAACAGTAGAAAACATCAGAAGGGAGTGTGTCCACATGAGGGAGCTCTGAACAGAAAAGTAAAGCATATTACTTACACAGGCTATCACTTAACTTGGAGAGATAATCCTGTAAGGCAAGCTCTTGGATTTTTACATGTACTACTAAGATAATGTTTAGAGAGGGAGAGTTGACTTACAATACTTGTAAAGTTGGAATCCAGCAGGATACAGGCAGGAGCTGGTAGTTGGGAGTAGAGCAAATAGTCTGTGTATAATAATGAGAGACTATGATTCTATTCACAAGTAAGAACAGTAGGCTTAGAATGATTAGTAAACACAGGGAGGGGGCAACTACTACCCTAATAGTGTAGGATTTCTAGGTGTAATCAACAGAAGTAGGGGAGAGTTTAATGTATTCATGTAAGGTTTGTAAAGAATTAGAAGGAGAATTTGATAGAGTAAGGGAGATATGAATAGGGCTAGAGAGACAGAAACAGGGCAATCTGAGGTCACACACAAGTACTTTATTAATAATCACTAGAGAAGAGCCATTGTCAATAAGGGCACAGACAGACAAGGGTTTTAGTGTTGTAGGACTGTCTAGCAGACACTCCTAATAGATTTGAGAGGGGTTAATAGGCACATACTTGTCTGAGTCATCAACATAGACAGCTGAGAGCATTTCCACCCTAAGAGCCACTACTACTACATCTTCTTCTTGATAGGACAATAACAAACTCATAGTAGTGAGTGGCTCAAGCTGTAATGAAACACATACATAGTTAGGAAGTTAATCAAGCTAGATATTAGTTACAATTGATACAACTAGTACAGACTTGACACAGTTTAAAGATGGTAGAGAGGGTATGTACTTTGAATGTAGGCAGATACCTTCTGCTTTAGTAATAGATGTATGATTTATTCTTGAATACAGGATCTGACAGTCCTTTATAAGGTAATTAACATACATGAAACAGTATTTGAAGTATCCATTATAATGATTGAGTGTGAATTTCTCTACAGTTAAGAGTTTCTCAATTTTCAGGCTTACTACATTCTCTTAAGCCTGAGAAATTGTATTAGAAGTCCTTAAGGGACCAGAGAAAGAGGGAGCTGACTGTGTAGCACAACTACCTTTGTAGCTACAGATTGTATCTGTAATAAGCTCACAGTAGTTGTATACACAGTTGTCAGTCTTACAAACAGTAGTAAGCCAGTCCTAGAAGTCAGCAATACCTTGAATTCCAGGTTCAGAGCACACTCATTTGAGCTCAATATCCAGACAGGCACTCATGAGAAAGCAGATTTCCTAGTAAGAGAGGATGGTAGGTCTTCTACTAAGGAGATAGTTTCAGCTAAGAATCTTGAAATAGAACTTGTTAGCACATTTTCTGTCCTGTTTAAGATTTTCAATTTCATTACACAGCTTAAGGTCCCAATTATGCTTGAGAACAATTCCCTTAAAGTTAGTAATGAACTCTTCAAACTCTATAGCCTTAATCTAGCCAGGTTGGACTGTATACTAACTATAGACTTTAATAGGCTTAAGACTATGTATAATGAGGCAGACTTGTTTGTTGTTAGGAATATTCTCATGTGTGAAGAAGGCAGTGCATTTGCAGGCATATTCACTAAGGAGCTTTAGGGTCATTTGACTGTCTGTTACAGTAGGGGCAGAGTTGGGCTTATAACTACTAATTTGGGCTAGAGGACAGGGTATGTTAGAGTAGACAGGTGGCTAGTAGCTAGTGGCAGGTCAAGTACAGGAGGCAGGTGGCAAGTAGCAGGTCTAGGCAGCAGGTGACAGGTACAAGTGATGAGTGGCAGGTGGCAGGTTGACAGTTGGAGAAGCTAGTAAGTCTTTATAGTAGTTGGCAGGCCAGACAATTGTGACATTCAAAAAAAAGTAGAGACAATGTCTCACTCAGGTTGTAGAACAGGCAATTGACTAGTATTGAAGGAGGTACAAGAAGAGATACAGTCTTGGGAATGTCTTAGAGCTATTTATAAGATAAGTCATGTGATGAGGCTAACAGATTGTGTGTAACCTCTACAAGGTTACACATTTATACTAAGCTCAATTCTCAACACATGAACATGAAGCTTTCTGTAATACACTTTATTATACTTATATTTAATTTAGGAATACATTTTGAGGTTGAAAATAATTTATTGAGTGTAGGGGGAGCCAGAGAGAAATAGTTAGTTTTACACATTTTAACCCTCTCTTAGCAAAGCAGAATAAGCACATAATTTACAACATATTTAGTATTTAAA